TGCTCCATATTTTGAGGCTTCTTTTTTTTTTTTTTTTTTTTTTGTGCCTAAATAGCAGTTGCTGACCTTTTATTATTTATGTTGTTCAGTTATATATCCCTTAACTGATCCCTTGGAAAACTCGAACTTCCCTCTTTACCAGGTATTTGGCGGGGGTTGGGGAAGAGGGCAGCAGGGAGTAGATAGGAGCAAAAGCAATCAGGGCAGCACTATGTCAGCAATATATATTATGCAATATTTTCAGCACTGTCCAAACTGTGTTATTTAGTGAAACAACTGAGTTGCTGTCTAGCTTTATTTGGTTTCTGCTTGTTATGAAGTTTGCATACAGCATGCTATTGTTAAACATCCTCTTGTTACAAGCTATAGAAGTGCTGCTGAACTGGGAAGGATGCAGAGGACTACTCATCTAAAGAAGTGAGCTCACCTCTTTGCTCTGTATCACGCCTTTTGCTGCATTTGGCCAGGTGCTAACAAATGGTCAAAGCTCTTATATCACTCACGGATGTTAATGAAAGGAGAGTAAAAATTAGTATGATCAAGGCAGATACTATTTCTTCAGTCATGGGGATATACAGATACACTAGGAAAAAGCACCATGTGTTGCATTCAAAACAGACTTTTAAAATATCATTAACAGAGCCAAAATCTGGGGGCTGGGAGTATGTAGGTGGGGGACAGAAATGCTGATTTATTCAAGGTATGCCTGCTGCTTTTCTTCCCACGTTCATATTCACTCCCTGAGTTCCACACAAGATAAATATTAGTGTTGTTTCTATTATTTTTAGTTACAGTGCTAAAACTTATGCTTAAGTCAGTGAAATTAAAATCAGTGCTCCTGAGGGGTCTGTCTGTTAATTCTTCCCAACTCTCTCAGGGGTTCATAAATCTCTCTATGCTGTGAACATAAATTAGTTACTGTGTAAAAATAAATTTTTATCAGGCATATAGCCCAAACAGGACTAAGGTTTATTTCAGAGATGTAGCCAGGGATTGAGAAGATCCAAATGGAACTCATAGAGTATAAATTGTAGGTTTTTTGTTTGTTTTAGTTCAATTGTTGTTAGCTGTTATTTGACGTTTTTCATTTAAGAGCAAATATTATAAAACCAAAAGGGGTGTAGGAAGTGTAGAAAACAAACAAAACATTTTGTATTTAACTGAGATTTTAATCAATCAAGACAAGATATCAGATTTATAGACTGAGCAAAATGGAATTTAAAGGTCACTGAATAGAAGTTTCAAGCAATGCCCAAGTATTTATTCTTGTATATACAAAGTCAAAAAATTCTTATATATATATATATATGTAAATATATAAAATATATGTAAAAAAGAAAAAATATTTTAAAAGTATTTTATAAATAGTTGAAATCCAAGAGGGAAAAAAATCTGTACTTTCTTGCACGACATGCAACATCGGTTGCATTTATAAATGATGAAAGAGAATTTTGTCTCTTGTTGTATTTTACATACTCATATTAGGAAAAAAAAATCTTGACTCCTTATAGGTATACCTGTGTTCTGGAGTCCTCAACTGAATTCCTGGCATGAAGAATTCAGGATGTAAATAAGTACATGTTTATTACACTAAAGGAATTATACAAAGTAAATCAGGTCCACCAAAATATGCTTGGGGTATGCAGATCATATAATTGCACAGAACTACCAAAAGGAAAAATCTGATCCCCACTTGTGCATAATTAAAAATTTGCAGAGCAGTGCGCTTATTCTACTTAAAAAAAGTAAACCCTGATAGTGCATAAAGAATCAAAATAAGATAGTAATGCCTTCCTACATTAGATTTTCTCTTCCATCTTTGTTATTGACTGCAACTGTTTTAATAGTTTCACTGCTCTACGTGACTTTTGTTCAAAAAATATATATCCAAAAATTATATTTAATAAAAGCAAACAAAAAAGGCATAAAACAATTACTTTTATCTCTTTGATGGTGAAAAAGGCAATTGGTTGTATTGTTGAAAATGAATCCCTTGTGATGCTGTAATCTTCATAACTTCTCCGTTTAGAGTATCATCTTCAATTATTGTTATCAGTCCTTCGGCAATTATTGATGGACTAAAAAGAAAAAAAAAGTTTTTTGTTTGTTTTTTCTGAATAGTGGTACACTAGAATATGTGAAAATATTTGAAAAGGACAAGCAAAGACACTCAGAGGAAATGCATATGCCCTGCAAATAAAACTATCTACTATTTGAATAGTATTTTCACCAAAAGCAGAAGAATGATAAGTGTTTCAGGAAGGAAATTTAATCTTCCCAGTTAGGACAAATAACAGCAACTTTACATATCATCATGAGTTTGCTCTAGTCATTGCTAAATCCCTGTGGATATCCAGTTGCCACTGGGCTTTCTATCAGAGATTTCTCTGTCAGGGTAATGGACAGAAGTGATCTTTACACAGTCTTCTGCAGCTCTTTGTTCTTGAATTATCGTAGTATGTCAGTCCTGTTACTGAACAAATTACCGTGAGGAGAATTTTCTCACAATTTGTTGTGTTCAATAAGTGCAGTATAGTTGACATCTAAAAAATGGGGGCAACTTATATGATTTCCTTGGTGCAGAAGTGTCTGAATGGCTAATTGTTAGGACTAGGAAAATATTCCAGAAATATTCCAGATTATTCGTGTCCTGTTCCTATAAACTTATCTACGTGTCTACTGTTAGTTCCACTTAGTGGCCTAGATAACTCTTTGGTCTAATTTACCATGGTTGCTATTATATTCTTAATGACTTAGTTTATTATTGTCAGTGGTTTGATTTCTTCACCCTTTCAATTTCAAAATGTGGGGAAACTCAATTCAAAAGTCACTCTCTGTACTTCTTAGCAAGTTTGATTAAACAAATTTACGCAATAATAGTCCACCAAGGGCTATTGCAAGTGCTATTGCAAGAGCTATCGTGCATGCTTGTTTTTCACTTACAGGGGGCAAAGAACACTATATCTAACTTTACTTACTCCATCACACCATAGAACTGCATCATATTTTTGATCTCATCCTTGTATGAATAATATTGTCCCATATTCTCTTCTTTATCTATTGACTGAAGAATTGGTGTGTTGACAAATCCTGGACAAATAGTGTTGAGTCTCACACCATAGTTTTCCATACTAGCAGCTAACTAGAAAAGAGATACAAGTTAGACATTCATCGTCATCATCATCATTTAAACAATATCGTGAAAGTAATTTCTCAGCGATTGTTTAGCATTATGTTTACGTTCTTGCCCGATAGACAATCTTGTTGATACTGGTTGTTTAATTTCAGTACCTAAGTTTGAAGTATGTTTTCTCTAATAATCATGCTTTTATTTTTTGGCCAACATTTTTTTTTTGGCTTTTCTGAGAACAATTCTACAAAAAAAAAAAAAAAGAAAATTTTTTTTTTTAGTACAGCAGTTTAATTTTTTTGTTACTAATGCTCTTGAAATTAACTATATTCTAGGATAATGCTAAAAACTGAATGGTAGGACCTTTCCCTTGTAATGCTGCCAATGCACGTCTGCAGCACAGGAGAAGCCAGAATGCTGAGGGAGCTTTCTTAGTTATGACCCAGAACTTGTGAACTACCACTGCTATATCTGTACCCCACAGTAACCATAATTGGTCAACAATAATTAAAGGATTCTCCCCCAGTATGATGTAAATTGTCATTTTCACAATATGATACAATAAGAGAAAAGAGACTGAAATCCTGGCTGTTTTGTGTTAGGCCTCGTGTTGCGCTCTTGTGTAATGTTCCTCTGTGTTTGGCCCTTTCTTCCTCTTCCCAACATTCCCATGTTCTATAAACAGGAAGCATTTCCTCCCATTTTCCTCAAATGCCTTGTTGTTTCTGAACTTATGTTGTAACATTTAAGAATATGAAAAAACAAAACTGGAAAAGGTTTCCAGTTCATGCTGCGGCTAATAGGTTATATGCAACAAATCCAGGTTGATCTGCTTAAGTAAATCTTTTTTTAAGTGATGGGAGAGCAAAATATAAACCTCTATTCTGGAAATTGGACTAGATATCTTATATAAGCAGGCTATCTTAAAGATGAACATGTAATGTATTAATACTACTTACTCACTAAAGTACCTCAATTTATTTTCTCATACTTCTTGTGAATTTTCTAAACTACAAAATTTTGGAGTCAAGGGCTAAGACTTGTTGCATAACAACGTTGTATAGCATTCACCACAACCCATTCTGAATGTATCATTTTGCATTTTTTAGCAAATTAACTAAAAATAAGAAAAAAAATAGGCCACAGCTTTCTGTTGAACTCATTTCCTGCATACTTTAGCATCTATTCATCATAAAAAATGTCATCAGTGTGACTTACAACTAAGGTAACTAGAATGTTAAATGATTGGAATAGTTATGAAAAAAACTGTTAAGCTTAGATAAGGGTTTAGGACTTTGAAGTTGTTCCCACTGTTTTTAATTCTCAGAATCTTTCTCCCAGGATCCCTAAACCTCAGATCAATCGTAAACCCACACATACCTTATTTATTCCATCTTTCAATTCCATTTGTGAAATGAGGGAACCTCCACTATTTCTGGAGCTTTCACTTGTTTCAAGAAAATTGTTTTTAGTTGTGTGGAAACAGTGAGGGGAATTGAGAAATTTAGCATATTCCCAAGAAGCTGGGAACAGCTGATTTTGAAAACACATACTTACTGCTATTGATCGTGTGAATCCAATTACGCCATGTTTTGTAGCACAGTACACTGGCTGGAATGCAGCAGGCATGAGTCCTTAAAAAAAGAAAACAAAAAAAAAAAAGCAAAAAATATGTTGGGGTACCCCTACTTATGATCTTCAATGCACACATACAGGACAATAATGCAGTAAATGATGGGTTTGTTGAAAAAGATAGGCAGTTTAGTAAAAATTTGCAAAATGTATTTTGTAAGACTGAAAAAGACATATGAAAACAAAAACACAGTGGAAGACAAAAGAGGTATAGGTAATGAAAATGGAATTACTTTTAAGATGAAAAGTGGGATATGCAAAGTATGACTTAAAGATGGAGCACAGGATGTGGAAGATTTTTAGGTTTTATGAATCCTGAATATATATATGAAGTATTTCAGATAAATTTTGGTTACTGAAATCTTAACTGCTGGTATGCATCCTAGACACCTGAAATTATTTACAGTGATTCTGGAGAGGAAGTAGCTGGACCTCTGTTTTTGGCAGGCAAATAGCAAAATCCATTTCAGCTACTGTCGTTGAACTAGTTTTATTTTTTTAGTTTTTATTTATTTATTGCTGTGTTACAAATATAATACATCTTGAATTCCTTTCTTAGTTACTTCTGTGGGATAGTAACAAAAATGAAAAAAAAACTTCTTCTCCTAGCTCTAATAAGGGACAGTGTGAGAGAGGGCTATGTGTGCTGCACAGCTGACTGAACTCCAGTCAACTAATCACAACTTTGAAATATTATTATTGCTTATTTATTTGGTAATATGCTTAGGACTAAAACAAAGAGTAGGTTACACATGCTTTTGCATCGTGTTTTCTCTAAGAAGTTTGTGTCTAAGCAAAATTCAAATTTGATGCACCACTGGAGGCACTGTAAAATTTTATTTGGGACACTACTCTGAAATGCTGTGTTCCCTGGTGCATGAAGTAGGAAGGTCATTTTCAACAAGCAAATGCGAACAGCAGAAATGGGGAATGCAGACCTCAGCGAATAGAGTAGAGAGAAGATTGAGAAAACAATATGAATGAAGTGATAAAGTAAAGCCTGAAGATCGTGAACAGAAAGAAATGAAAGTAGGCATGTCATAAGCATGAAGCATGTCATAAATCAGATTTGATCAGATTTCATTACAATGAAAAAGATTTCACTGTAAGGTACCTTCTATAGTGGTTCTGCTTCTGAAACAAAGAACTAGTGGGGAGGATCTTTGGAAGGAGAATGGAAAAAAAGAGCTTTCAATACAAGGCAATAGTGTTAGTATCTTCTGGGCAAGGCAAAAACAGAAACAAAATGAAAAATGACTATTGAGATTCTGCGCTAATAGATTAGGGTGGGAATGGGTGAGCATAAAATCATCATTTGCACATTTGCAGTAGAGAAAGAACAGATGCTACAGAGGAAAAACAAGAGCTTCCCTCTTTTAAGAATTTGATGGTAACAAGCTGATCAAGCAGAGTTGGCAGACCATGAATATATGCTTCTCTGAACATTATGCCAACAACTGCCACTATACTGTAACAATATGGACTGAAATGGGGCACATGGGTACTCTAATTCCAAATGAAAGCTGTGTCCTTATAAATAGCAAACCCTAGGCTGCTCTAAAGCTAGAAGGAGAAATTTGTCTACAAATGTGGTATCATTAAGTCTGGATGCAGCTGTTGATGCCTTAGTATTTAGTTCTACTGGAAGTAGTAGTTCCAATTTATATCTAAAATATCTGTTTTTTATTTTGTATTTTTAAGTGATATAATTAAGAAAGGGCATGACTTATCTCAGTGGAGATGATGAATATACTACTCAGCTCCAGAGCACGGAATTGTCAGAAAGATATGTGTATTGTGTATGAGATTGTGTATGTCAGAGACATGTGTGGGCTCTTTGCTCTGGAATCCATTTTAACTGAAAGCAAGTAACTCTCTAAGAAGGCAGAGCGTTCTGATTAGAACCATGAGTGTGTCAGGGCTTTATCTGGGTTTAAAGGTTACACTAGTCACCCAGTAAAAAACAACATTATTATTAGCACCGTTAAGTGGCGAGAAATAAATGACTTATCCTAGTGACCACCCTTCTCTTAAATCTACGTTTAGCTCTTCAGCTTGGATAAATGTGTTATGCTTCTGAATAAGAACTTGCTTTATGAAAAATATCTTCCATCGTAACTCCTTTAGATAGAGTCCGCAAACAAAGCTCAATAGTCTTCTTTTTGGTGATTTGTAACTGATGGACTGTCATCAAGTATCATCATTCTTCATGATAACTGGAAATGGTGGCATGCTCTCAGTTTGTCAGTTTGCTAATTCATGTTAGCAATATTAGGATACTACTTTTTAAAAATTATTTTTATTTTGTAAACCTTGAGTTGTAAAGGTAAAGACAATCTCAATGAGGGTGCAGCTAAGACATGTGAGAAGAACAGAGGAGGAATTTAGAAGTCTGCTTTGTTTTAACAATGGTGAGACAGTTTACTTTTTACTTGAGAGGGAAGAGAAAGTTAAGGAATAAACAAAGGAAGGACACAACTCACTGTAATGAATTGGGATAGGGTTCAAAGACTTACTTAAAATCAAAAGGCAGGAGGAATAGCTAGGCAGGAAGGGAGGAATAAATAACATTAAAAAAAACCCAAAGCAGTAAGAACAATTGTCTCCTAACCCAAACTATTACTACATGGAAAATAAAGAAGAAATTAGTTGAGTAACTTTCTACCAAAGCAACAAATTGAGCTAGGCCTAGCATCCTCCACCCAAATCATTGATAATCCCATCTCACTTTTATTCATGAGTTCAGTACCCTGTACCACTCACTACCATTTCAGACATGATGTCAAACTTCTTGTTGCAATTGCTTGTTCATTTACAACTGTCAATAGTTTTAATTAAGTATCATGATCCATATGTTGGGAAATTAGTATTTGAGGTGCAGCACTGTATCGATAAGCTTGAATTTGTTGAAACTGGTATTTTCTTTCATTCCACTGAAGAGCTAAGGTGAATACAGAGTACCCATAGCTATGCTTCCTCACAGGGCACACACTGCCGTCAGAGATTTGCCTCTTTGGATCAGATTTATGAACATTTGGATGGCCTTGCTCCCATTGCCCCCTTTTCCTCCAGGGCTGCACTGTTAGCCAGCTTGATACAAATCTAATTCTCTTTGACAGTATCTTATAAATTTCAACAATTCCTTAAAAACTATACTTCATATTTGGTTGACTTCAGTATAAAAAGCCATGGTCAGTTTTGTACAGAGGTGTTGATTTCATGTGGACTTTGACCACACCAGAAGGTTGCCCTTCTACACTGATTATGCACAGATCAAGTTCTGCATATTTACTATTTGACATTTTTTTTTTTTCCTCACTGATGGAATTTTTTCCTCACAGTTTTGACTGATGGAATCTATTTAGAAGCAAACCAAACATATTGTACTCTCTGTATGTTGGAAAGTAATTTGCCGAAGTAATGTGTTTTCCTTTCTGCAATGTTTGTTTAACAAAATATACTTGTATCAAAGCCTATTCTGAAACATTAAATAGTTACAAATAAATAACATCACAAGTTAGCCATACTTATTTAAATTAAATATCTTTCCAAACCCCATTATAGAAATTTCCATTATCACCCCTAGACAAAAGTCTGCATATGCTTGTAGTGCACTTTGAACAACCTCTTTTGAACAACTAGATATGTAACTAGAGAAATGAACTAGAGGAATGATGATTCTACAGAGTGATGAGAGATTTAATTAAGGGATTTATAGCCTACTCTTTCCTCAAGAGTAAAAGGGGTTACAAGATCACATTCCATATGTCGGTTTTACCCTTGGGATTTTAGCCAAACCAAAGGAAACATGGAAATCATAGCTGAAATTTTTAACTGCATCATAATCATAATTTTCTAAGAATGAACTGAATTGTCCAGGGATTATTTTCTAAATCTCATTCCTGTGGATTCTGCTTACCGTCTCCTTTACTACGCAGGGAGAGAGAGAGAGAGAGAGAGAGAGAAGAAACTCTCGTGATGTTGAACTCAGGGCCCCAATCTTGGAGCCATTTGCATCTTTGGTCTCCTTTAACACTCTCATTGTCTTTATTCAAATGATGCTGATTATACATATAACTTTGTTTCTTTTAAAAATATATATACAGGACCAGATCCTGCAAAAGTGTGCTTGCTTTGAGGAGTATCTTAAGCATTTCCCTTGGCCAAAGCTCTCTAGAGGCAGAGAAAAAACTGACTGCTGGGGAGCCTGTCTGCACCCGTGAAGTTGAGTACAACCAAACCACTGATACAGCTATACAACAACAAGGTTTCCAGGTATACTACACACTGAACAACCTCTCATAAAAATGGCATGACCTTATGCTAAATATTTTGTTGTTTTTAAGCCCTCCTAAATGTTTTGATTTTCCTTATCTGCCAGAATCCAGACATATACAAACTCAGTTTTACAGAATATTTTCTTGAAAGTATGAAAGTAACCAAATCAAACGTGCACACATGAATCCAGCACTCAAACTTTCCTTTCTCCCTTTATTAAATGTGTATAGATAGCAGCTACCAAAAGTTAAGAGACTGTGGTAAATATATCCATAAAAATAAGAGTTTAAATTTAGTACTGTGTTTTTTTGTTTGGTATGTGACTTAAAATTTGAATTAATTTGAGTATAATTCTTCCTACAGAGGAAGAATTCTTTCCTACAGAAAGAATTTCAGCATGGTTTACTCTTTAAATTGTAAGATGAATTTATTATAATGCATTCAAAAACCTGCAAACACTGGCATTTTCTTTTATGAGGGCAGTTTGACAAACTTCCCATTATCTCAGAGATTTAGTGGTAATACTTCCTCCTGATATGAATGTAGAATTCCCATAAAAGAAAGTTTTATAGCTTTGCGGAGGTTACAAGTTGAGTGTTTGCTGCATGGACTTACAAATTTCACTGTTTCTAATTTAGTCCTGCCTTGTAAGGGCATTTTTTGGAGAGGAAGAATCAATACTAGAAAAACAGTGAATATACTGACTTTAATCCAGCTAAAACTTAAGGCATGCACATCACAGGAAGCACCTACGTGCTCTATGGGTATTCTTTAAAATATCAAAAAATAAGAGAGTCCTTCTCGAGTTCCAATCACTGTCAAAATCTCCATAGTAAAAGAATGGAAAGTAATTAATATGTAAAGTAAATATTATTGAATTTTATGTAAGCACTGAGTATTACTCTTCTTACTGCTCAACAAGACAGATAAATACTTGCTATCTGCAGAACACGCCTGATAAAAATCTTGCAAAGAACTGGGGTGAACAGGATCAAAACCACCAAGGAGATTAATCATCAACAGAAGCTACCTCCAAGTAAAGAAAACACTTGAAGGGAATGTTAAACTAGTCAATGGCAGTTGGAGTTTTATGTGCATGGTGAACTGCGGGACTTAGACCTTTAGGCACTAAGGGAGAATTGGAGTTGCAAAGCACAAATAGTAATTAATAAATAAACTGTAAAAATTAGTCCATGTCAGCTTTTATCTTGTGGTTTTCCTTATGACCTTGGAAGCAATTAGTAAATACAAGCCAGGCAAGAGCAAACAAAGCACAGAACACTTTGTTTTTGACTGAGATAGCCACAACCATCAGAACACAATATTCACATTAGAAAGTAAGTAAATAAATGCAAACTTTGAATAATTAAGATGACACTTATAAGCTCTTATCAAAATGAGAAAAGCCAAGCTATGAGATCTTAAAACCAAAATAATTCATATTTATTTGAGAGTGATGAGAAAAGGAATGCACTTGCTACCTTTGGGGCTTTTCTTAAGCATTCCGGGGTCATCAGCACTTTTTAGAAAATGTTTAATCTTTTACTTGTGTCAGTGAAATGCTGTACGGCGATAGGAATTTCCTTCTGGTTAATTTGGTTTGAATGTAGGGTCTATGTGAGCCAGTGGAGGTAAGCTTGCCAACTGCAGTTGGCAGGATGGGATTGGTAAGACTGATCTGATTGGTAAGACTGATCTACATGGAGACTTTTAATAAACTGCCACCTGTATCAGGTAAGTGAATGTGTTAAACCAGATTCTCTTAAGCTAAGAAATTCAACTGATTTATGTCAATAGGGTGAACTGGTTTTCTTATCTCAAATTCCCTGGCATCTAGGAGAATTTAGCAGTATTCAGAACATGGATGTCTACCCTGCGCTAACCCCCATGCCCAGTCAGGAACTAAGGCTACCGTTGTCTTACAGGCCCTAAACCTTCAAAACACAGGGTGTCCCCCCTAAACCAAGTGCCTCTCAGGATATTTTGAACACATGCTGAGGAAAGAGCTGAACATGCAAACATAAGCCATCATAGATAGTATTTTTCCCAAACTCCATGACAGTATTGAGAGAAATAATTAGAAAGGAGTGCAAATATTTCCCCACAAATTTTCAGAGGAATGGTGTTAGGAAGTATCGTTCTTGATGTCCGTTCCTCCTTCACTCATACTTTTTCATTCTGAGGCACTGTCATTGTGACACAGTGTGCGCATGCAAGCAAGGATGCAGAACTGCTGAGCAGCAACTACCCCAACCAACCCAGAAACCATGTAACTGGCTTTGTACTGTTTACTTACTGATATTTCATTTCACTGCATTTCAATTTATGTGCAGAAAAGGTGTTAACTTAAACTCAATGAAATAATAATGCTAATGCCATGGCTTTTTGAGCAGAGGTGGCTCATGCCTGACAGGGCTTGAAGCATTGACTGTGTGTGTGTGATGACCTTCATTAAAAGGGAAATACAATCTCATATTAAATATTCCTACAGATGAACCCCTGAGAGAGGACCTGAGAGGACCTGCTGTTGCATCCTCTCTTTCTGTGAAAGAATTATCAATTTTTTCCATGTTTAGTGCCTGATAAATATAATATAAAAAATAAGCAATTTTAAAGAAACTTTGAATTCAAATTAGGTCTATATATTGGATCGCTTATACACAGTATAGTGTACTCATTGTTTTAATTTAATAATGCCACTGAACAGTGTTGAGTTAGGGGTAGGACAGATTGTTTTTTTTAAGATTTCCACATTGACCTATATTGAGCAAACTGATCTGATGAAGTTTATATATCGTATTCAAAGTTATTAAATAAAACTGAGAGGTAAGGAAAATTGCTGAATTCTTTGAACTGTAAGGATAAAAGCAAACAAAACTATTGTCTTTTGTTATTGCCTCTCTATAATCAAAACTAGATCATAATCACAGAATCACAGAATGCTTAAGGTTGGAAGGGACCTCAGGGGTCATCTAGTCCATAATAGGAATAAAAAAAGTCATAAGAAAGAAAAAATATGAGTGATCAATATGACAAAATTATTTTAGACAAAAAAAAAAAAAGAGTAGCAAATTTAGCAAATTTAGATGGAAAATGTTCTCACCTGCCAGGGATGAGATATTAATGATTACTCCACCGTCACCTCCATTTCCTTTTCTCATATATTCTAGGCCAAGGTAGGTTCCTCTAATCACCGATGTCTAGTATAGGGAAAAAAAAAAGCATATTCAAAATATGTCTCCAGTTGCTCCTAAAAACTGAAACTTGCCTTAATTGTGGTACACAGAGCTTGTATTGCTTTAGCACTGATACCTAAAACTGTTTAATGTTGCTTCTCCCATGTAAACTTTAGAACTTTTATTGGAAAACAAGATCATTCATGCCCACTAGCATTGCTTGAAGGTGCTTTTTTTTTTCTGAAGACAAACCCACTGGCAACTCAGCTGAAGTTAGACTTGGAATTAAGGGTTGGGTTGTGGGATTTTTGGTTAGTTTGTGTTTGTTTTGTTCTTTTTTGCTTTTAAAAATGTGTAACAGGTTGTGGCAGGTGATAAAACATTTAGAAAGGAAGGATAAGTTAATGAAGAGCTATAAAGAGCAGCTGTGGGTCCTATCATGCCCTGGGGCAGTGGTTTGGCCTGCTGGATAGAAAAAGAGAATTCCACTGAAGATGAGAGGAAATAAATAAGTGGCAAAAGGAAGCAGCTTCAGGCTGCCAAAGGCTTTTTCTCTTCCTCCAGACCCCTAAATCAAAGAGCTAGCAGAGCTAGAGGGGTCTTCGGCCAAATCACAATTATAATACAAGGCAAAGCAGGTGGCGTAACTCTTCTATCTAAGAGCTGTTCCTTTTTCTCTCTATTCTTCATGAATTCTCTTAGCATTTCTTCAAGCAGTTTTGGGTAAATTCTCCTTTATGCAGCTGTAAGGAGTTGTCTTCTGAACTAAGGCAGACTTGCATTTCATTATTGCTTTTATTTGCTCTGCCATCTGTAGACAAAACTTACCAACAAACGTGGATCACCTGGGATAACCTGGCTACTTCCAATGTTTGGGCAGATTACATGAAGAATTATTCTGGAGATAAACTCTGAATAGGATATGCAGGATGACAAGAACTTGGCAGTCCACAGACCCATGATATGGGACTCGGGATGAAGTGTGTTTTGTGACTCTTCCTCTGCCTTGCTATCCACAGCCTGTGGCTCCAGCTGAGTTAGTAAGCTGAAGCAGGCACTCACATCCGGATGCCACACAGAAATGGCAAAGAGGCTTTTCAAGGAAATGCATATAATTTCAAGAATAGCATATTTTTGTTTTTGTTATGAAATCCATCTTTTTAATGCCTAAATTGCAGCCTGAGGCCTTCTCTCACATGAAATATGAGTCACAATTCCTATCTGTTGGTGTCAGAATATTATGGTTGAATTCTAAAGAAAATCTTTTCTTTTTATTCCACTATACCATAAAAATGTGTGATAGAAAATAAGATAGTCAAAGAACGATAATTTCTTTACAGCCCAGAAAAATACCTGCAATATGGCTTTTGGTAGTCTGAAGGAGTGACCAAAGTGGAAGTGTTGGGTCAAAACTCAAGTGTCTTGCATATACTTTTGAGAATAGTAGCTTAATCCTGTGCTCTTAATGAATTCTAATTCATTATCTTTCACACTTAGCAATTTTGGGGAAGTTAGTTAACATTTAAAACTGTCTAATTTAAGAAAAGTTTGAGTGTTCTTTTATGGTAAAAATATGCTGCAATACTTTGTACAAGAAAGTATGTTGTCTTTCAGGAGAGACTTTTCACAGTCACTTTATTTACAATTGCATTCAGCTGCATAAATGTTCTCCATAAAAATGTCAAGAACAAAGAGTAGGAAACTAGTCAAATATGCAATTAAGTGCAGGTGAAATGAAAAATTAGGAAAGCTGACTCTAAGCCAGCTTTTTGCTCACAGCTACTCATTAGAATTTGAAACTAGTATAAATAGATGTCAACCAAGATGTTGAAAAACGGTGATCATAGTTTTACTGAAGTTTGTTTTCCTATCAGAATATAATGTTTTACAAATAATAAGGACAGTCTGTTAAGGAGCATTGAAGATCTAAGTATGCTCCCAAGAATGCCAATTTCATATAACTACTAGTAAAAAGGTTTAGACTTCCTTACATTCCAACATGCCAACTCTTTTCCATATATAACATGTCTTTTTCATGGTACCATTCTTAGCTTGCTCTATAAATGAAATAATATATATTCTTTAGCTGTGATAACTTCTGAAACATCATTAGTCATCATCCTTTGCAAATTAGAATTGCTTTGGAATAATCCAGTATGCAGTACTTCTTTTCATGTGTTTCAAGTCATGTGCTTCAATTGCTACCATTTCTTGATAATAAAGTTTTAATAAAATTTCCTTTGGGAACTTTATTAAGGTTTCTTAAAGGAAACTTTATAAAGATTTCTTCTTAGGAATGCTATTATTCTATGTTGAGGAATTATCTCTGCGCTCAGTGCTGGAGATGACAGTTCTGTTGATGCCAAAGTCATCAGGCAATATGCATTCCTTGGAGAGGACAAAATGGTAATCACTAATCTGTCCTGACATTTTACATAGGTTTCCAAGTTAATCAATTCTAGGCTTACATGCTTAAAAAAAAAAAAAAGCTAGAGATGAGCAGTTTTAAAACTCAGCATAGCACTGAGGTGGAATTTGATTCTAGATCATTTGACTTTCATTTAAGATGTTGTAGACAGATGACTATTTAGAAGGGAACGTTTTGAAGAACTTTATGATTTATTCATAAACTATCCAGGACACATTTTAAAAGTCTGAAAGCAGGTGCTGCCAGTGAGATCTCTGGAAAATTTTAGCACTTTGTTGTTGGTCAGAGAGGTGGAGGTGATCTTGTCATGAATATAGGTTTCCTAGGAAGCTGGCAGGCTGCAGCAAGCATTCAAGTCCACTGACATTCCTACGTATAGATGGGTATGCTTACTGTACTAAATCATTTTTCAGGCTTTATTTTCTAGTCCAAACAATGAAAATCAAGAAGCTTATCAAAGGACAGGCAGAAAAATGGAAGGAATCATTTGCTAGAGATCAGTTAACTCTTGTGCAGTATACGAGTGAAATACTAAACTAATACAGTAATGTTGTGTGTTTTTCCTTACTCTTTTTCCCCACGTGTTTTCATCAAGGACCTAGGATTAGTATTGCAATTTGTGTAGCTGGGTTAGGGTTTGTTTTTTTTTTTTTAAGTCAGAGAAAAACAGGCCTTCACTGCTCTTTAATATCAGTTACCATAAAGATGTATTAGAAGCTATCAGCCAAAATCATCATTGGCTTAGCATGCAGTTAATGTAAATCTGCATGCTTTATACCTCAATGTAAATAGCAGAAATTATCATACTTAAGCCTTACAAGCTTCTTTATCCACTTATGTGATTCATCCTTATGCCACTGATTTCAAGATAAGTGAGGCCTCTTTCTCACTTTTCAGTAGCCATGTCTCTGCCAAGGCATTTGTTCCACTCTCTGACATTGAATTATTCTGAAGGAGTAAGCAACTAAAGCTCTGAACAACAGAGCTGATGTACTTCTGGACATCTGAGAACACAACCTGGCTAAATTAGTTGCCAATACCATTTAATCTTCCATTTAATACCACTTAATACCATTTAATACCACTTACAGCAGTTGTGTTGGTAGCTCTAAGAAACACCACTTGGCATTTTCTGCAGGATCTCATGCTAATTCCCAGCTGCTGGATCATACACACAGGTTTGTGTCCTAGCCACATTATTTAGGCATGAAAGCTGGGTCCTTGTCATCTCTCTTTGGGAAGGTAAGCCAGGCACGTGGACCAGAATAAATCTGTAGCCTACTCCAAAGAAATTCCTGTTCTGACTTTTATTTTTTGCCTTCTGTAGCATTAAGTTTTTATCCTTAAATAAATAGATCATTTCTGAAGTTTGCCTAATTAGCCAGTTGAGACATTACTGGTGAGTATTTCCTTACTGTTGAACAAAGCAATTGGATTTCCTGGTTGTTTATTTGTCTGGGTGCTATACAGAACTATACAAAGCATTCACATTGCTTCCAGTATATGTCCTCATTTGTACATGAGATTTTTTAATATATGCTTCTTTATAAGCTCTTTCTGACACAGGAAATAAGCAGCACAGAGTGACCAAATGGAATTAAGATAACAGCATTTCTTATGCAAGTTATGACAATAAATGCTAGCTGAATACTTAGATCTTTGAGGATGTAAATTCTCAAGATTGGCTAATACTCCATCATTTCCCTAAATGTTGTCCTGTGAAAATCGTCAAAGACCTTCTAGATGTTAAAGAATCTTTACTCAGGAAATGTCTACCTCTCTACCCATATTTTCACAATATATCTGAAAAAAAAGGGTTCATCTTGGATGCTTTAGTCTCAAATCAATGGCAAAGCATAAATTTGTCTGATATGTTGCACAAGTCCCCTTGCTTTGCCCAATAACTGGAAGCAATGCGAATACTCTCAGTTGTTGAACTTACTTAAGTTCTGCTTATGTTTGTTTATTGACAAATAAACAATATAGGAATTAGGCTTCATTCTTCTTCATTTTATATAGAATGTTAATTTTATGTATTTACATAGTATTGCTACCTTTTTTTGCATACTAAATTATCCAAAGCAATGCAAAGAAATAGTAACACTTAATTCCTGGATTTTTGCTTAGTAGTTTTGCCTGGTAAGCATGAGATGGTCACATGACTATAGAGAAGAAACTGAAGAACAACAAGAACTCCACTGTGTTTTAGAAACCTGTCCTTCTGAATCCTGAGGTATGCTAACTTTCTGATTTTTTGCTATTTCTGTCAAAAAAGCCATTTTCCCATTTTTATTAAGATTAAAGAATGTCTGGAAAAAAAAGACAAATGGTGTAAAAATGACAATTTTCTGACATGATTTTTATAAGAACTTTTTATTGCAATTCAATATCATTATATTTCTTGTTAGAATTATAAGACTAATCAAAGTAGTAATAGAAAAGAGAACCAATTCTTTTTCTCAAAAAAGAGATAAGCAAGATGGTATTACATATACATAATAAATAAAAAGGCACCCCCCTATAGGTTAATGAATTGTTATTGTTTTTATAGCAGAATGCTATAAAGACTTTTCAAGATTTTATCTTTCTGAACTAAATCTGTGTATCAGCATACATAATCTTTTGAGGTTAGGGCTTGATATTTTTCCCAAGGTATTGTCAGCCACCCATAAGATATAATTTGGAGAGAGAAAACTTCTCATTGGACAATTCAATTTAGCAATACCATTTATACAGTATGTATTTTGATAGGTGTACTGCTGTGCTGCACTTTTGGATTCTGAAATAAATCAGATGATAAGCAGGGCAACACTTAAATAACTGGATCCTGTATAATGGATTGTTGGCATCCCCAACTTATAGTCTACACTTGGAATTTCTGCCAGAATAAATATATCAGTTAAAGAGTGAAAAATCGTCACCAGAATGGCACGTAATTGTTATTTTGCTGTCAAATTCTTGTCAAATGAATATAATTAGTTCCATTTAGGGAATCAGTATATCTACAAAATATATTTTTTTGGTGAAAGAAACAGAAAGATAGTCAAAATGTTATGTGAAGTGCCTCTACACTTTTAATTCCAGTAATATTCAATAGCATTGAATCAATACTCAATGTAACAGATGTGCTGTTACATTTTAACTGTAGAACGTGGCTTATATCTGTCTTCAGAAGTATCCAATACAAGCATGAAAAAAGGGAATAGATTTTTGGATTCATTTAGCATAAAATGCTCTAAATGGGTTTGTAATTAGAGAAAAGACATTATAGTCAAAGTGGCAATTCTCTTCCAGGAAGCCTACATCATCAGCATAAGACAAAAATGAAGGAAGTAAATTTTTATTTAGCTAACATATATACACGTTCAAGGCCTAGTAAAATCCAGGTTCTTGTTCTCTCTTGTTCTCTCTCTCTCTCTCTCTTTTTTTTTTTTTAAAAGGACTTCATAAAAGAAAGATTACAAAAATTTCTGGACTTCTTAAGTGTAAGTTCCTGTAAAGTTGAAAGCCAGAAATACTGAGCTTGTCATTCTAGAGGGGCAGTAGATACCATTCTTGATGAAAACTTATGGGTTATATGTCACATTTTTCTCTGTGGGCACTCATGAATATGGAATTAAAACTACACCAGTAACGTCCACTTCAAAAGCATAGAATTCCTAAACAGTTGCCAAGGTCAATATATCATAATAACAAGAATGTACATCCATTTGGGGATCAGCAATTGAAGAAATCATTGATCAAGCTTGTATTTACCATGCAGCACTATTAACTTTGCAGGTTTGCAGTGAGGAAGAAAAGCATTGCTGGAATACTAAAATAAACAATATGTATGAAGAAATGAAAAGGTAGACATTATGCTGCATAGCATATAGCCAAATTGTACAATGCATTGCTACATGAATATCTTTTCAGTATTTGCTGCTCTTCATTTTCCTCTATCAACTTGTCTTTTCTCCTCTGTAGGAATTTATAACGATACAAGTAGGAACTGTGTTTTACTCTTGCTTTTTCCTTCTAAATTATGTTCCACTCTTCAGACTTGCTTCTCCATTTCTGTTACTCACATTTTCTCAAGAAATGCTATGAGGGAACTTCCTTGCCCTCCCTTAGAAATAGCTGCTGAAGACCAACCGGTTCTGTGGACTGTTGTAGCCATAAAGAACACACCCCATATGTGTTTGTTCTGATTTATCTTGTTCTGTGCTGCTCTACTTTTGTACTTTGTACTTTAAACTGGGGCAGGGAATATTTGTTGTATCAGAGTATAAATAATATTATTAAGATGAAGATTGGCATGCAGAGTAGGTTTTTTTTCCCTCCTTTTTAACCAGAAAATGCCTGTATAGGATGTACCAAAACTTACTCCTTTTTTAAAAATAATACAAAGGGTATTTTATAGGTCCTACTCTGGGGATCCAGAAATTACCTAGTTCATACGTATTTGTTCCTTTCTCACTAAGCAAATAATACCTTACGAGACTGACCAACACATTTTAAGTGGCAGATGTTGTCCCATTGTTGTAGCTAATTAGCAGCAAACATAAAATGCTTATATACTAGTTCATGGAAATTACTAAAGCCATATAGAAATAGCCAATGGAAACAAGCTAGGTAATCAACTTACTAATTATACACAGTAAAAGAATATTCAAATGAAAAGATAAAGATATGTAGATCCCAGTGTGTCCTTGATTTAACCCATAGATCTATTCTTGTTCTTCTAATATATGTTGATTTCCCATCTACCTACCTCCATGAATAGATGCACTCATTCAACTTTCAACTATGAATCAAGTCATTAGTACATTTAAGATTGTCTCACTATGCATTGAACTATCTTCCATCTTCCCCTTTTTATGTTTAGGGCAAGTACCTCAATAGTTATGCATGTACATTTGGAAGATATGGATTCTTTTTTTTCCTGTTACCTGAAATGGTTCACATCTGTGTCCTGCTGCCCAATCACTGGCAATATGACAAAAAGGAGAAGGAAGTTTTCAATACCTCCTATTGAAGCTCTTGGCATTTAAAAATTGCTTGGGCATGACTGTATAAATCAGGATATTTACCTGGGGATGAAATACCTTCAAGATTTGTTGACCAGCAATGTCTTTGATATTTGAGTTAAATTGACAGAGTTAAAACTCACAGAAGCATGGCATCATGCGATTCCTGCAATAAATACGTATTGGCACAAATATCTTGAATTTTGAAGACTTTGGGTTCCTAACAACTTTTTCATCACAATTTCTGTGCCTGAAGTTAATTTAAAATGCAAGTTATTGTAATTAGCTATCCACCTATCAAATTTACACGCATAGTTAGACACAACTGAAAAAAATGAGGTCCACATGAGAAACATTTGTCTGAGATTCATTTATAAAGTCTTCCACATTCAAGTTATTTGTGCCAATACATATTTATTGCATGAATCTCATGGTGTCATACTTCTGTCAGTTCACAGTGTAAAAGATCCTGATGTTTAATTGGCCAGCAGATTTAAGAAACAAAATAGAGAGGAACAAATATGTATAGTTAAATCTTAAAGAAATGTAAAGGCAAAGGAAGGTGAACAACTATATTCATCTTACCATGGGACTCTTGATCTGTGATCTCAGTTCAGTCCCTTTCAAAAGCAAACTAGACCTTGGATAGACTTGGAAGGTCAAGAAAATATACTATTAAAAACCTATAACTGTGTTCATATATATATTTATATATATAAACAATATTTTCTGATTAATTTTCTATAGCTTGTCTCACATAAAGCCTACGTTACTTATTCTGTGGGTATTTTTTTGTAGTAGTAGTAGTAGTTTGGTTTCATGGATACACTGATTTAAAGGCTTTCACTGGAAAGCACTTCATTTCCATAGGCTTAGGTTTCAATGAAGTGAAGTTGACAGTACTTTTCAAATTTGAATGAACAGTATTGTTGAAATGCAAGTTACAGAAATATTTCAGTTATTTTCTATTTTAAGAACAGAAAATGTTCTTTCAAAACCTTGTTTCATGATCCATGTAGCTCCTGTTGATACCCAAGCTAGCCTGTAGATGCAATTCTATTACTGATATTCTGTCAATTGTGGTAATGCCTGATGAAGAATTATCTCTACACATGTAGTGGGGAAAAAAAATACTGTAAGGTTTAGCATTTCATCAAGGGAGAAAGGACATGATTGAGCAGTGATTCTCTTTTCATTTTAAAGTACCAAACACGATTTACCTCTTGTCCTGGGAGAAAATTCTAATTCTCCTATTACATTAGGCTTCCTTTCAACCTCTCCACTGAGGCCACTAGTCGGGTACCTTTGTCCATAAAACTTTTGACACAAATAAAGCTTTTAATTTTCTTATACAGTGCTCTGTTGACCTGACAAATTCCAAATTTCTGGAATCAAGCTCCACATTGCACTCTTCCCAGCTTTCTTTTGCTACTTTTCTTTGAACATCTACATTATAATATTTAGTAAATGTGGTCATAGGAGAGACTTGCTGAACCCTAATCCTTCTATTAGAATTTCAGATGTGGTAGAATATAAGCTAGTCAGAGATTTATCAACTAGAAGTAGGTTTGTCCTTTGGAATGCCTTTCCTTTGGATGTCTCAGCCAAACAGGCTGAGGAGAAAAACTTTTAAATGAGAAACAGATATTGAGCCCTTATTTATGTTCTTTCACAATGAAAAAATAAGGCTTCACTGCAGTGATGGCCAGGCAATATCAAACAACTGGTAATAGTCTATTTCTAAGTAAATTTTACGGACTCGTTGCAGATACTGGGTTTTAGTAAGTGTTCTTAAGAGGTGTGTTTCAGTCTCTGAGGTTGCTGAAATAGCCTATATTAAAAACTCAGATCTTACACTTGCTTCATTAGTGAAGAAAATATTGGAGCTCTCGGTTGAACAATATTTCTTGTAATATGAATGGCTGGCAACATATTTCTCTAGTACGGGCCAGCTGAGTCTCACAAGTAGTTAAAACATTATGAAACTTTTGTATAAGCACACTGGCCTCCTGCAGATGCAGCTTTACCGCTCCAAGGACCAAATTATTGTATCTACCTGCATTTTGTTGTGCTTTGTAGCAAAATAGTTTTGCCTTGGTTTAGCCTGAGCATCTCTTCAAAGTGCTATTGACTTGGATAGACAATTTAAAGGACTCACTATACACACTTCTAGTGGTTAGTACATATGCAGTTATGTAGTTATGTTTTAAAATAGCTGTACTTTATGATCTAATAATTAATGTTCTGTCATATACTCAATCTGTACAATCCATGGCCTCCTGACTTAGGTGTATGCTGACATTAATTATGGAAATATGAACATGTGAAAATAAATAATACTTACCAAGTTAATTTGTATAGTGCTTTCCCAGTCCTTTTCATTATTCACTCCAGCATTATTAACCACTATATCCAGCCTTCCAAAATGTTCAATTACTTTTTCAAAGGCACCTATAGAAAAATCCAAGGATGAAATTCCTTAGCACTTATTAAAAATAAATGCAATGCATATTTGTTACTCTATAAAACTGTCAGAACTATTTTCTGAGACGTCAATGGGCAAGATATAATTACATTCTTTATCTAGCCATTCACCAATATTCAATATATTCAGGTAAACTGATGAGATTTTAAGATACCATAGTAATCTTTTCATTCATTTTTATAGTGCCTGATAAAAATCCTGTTATGAATGTTCTTAGCATCCATACATACTGTGGTATTACAGAGAAGGCTTGGCACCCTCAGTATATAAACTAAGCATCTATAGCTTTTGCTTCTTCTAATTTGATCTATTCAATAAATTCCGGATTTGGTCTCATCTCCTTTAAATCTAAAATAAAATAAAATGCTTATATATTCAGAATGATTTTCTTTGCTGAATTACATTTTAAGAATGTAATTCTTAATCAGATGTAACTAATACAAATACAATGACTCCTAACTACAAATAATTTGTCATACCTCTTGCTTCATTTTATACATTTAAGAATAAATTGCTATGCATCCTACATACAGGTAACGTAATAATGTGTTTCTCAGATTCAAGTATCTGTTGATAAACAGAAATGACCACTCTTTCAATACCTTTCCAAATCATATGAGCCTGAGTTATTCCAGATGACAGAGGTTGAAGAAAGACAGAAGATAAATACGGAAAAACACAATAATGTCTTAGGGATGCACAAACTCTTCTAACTTGGCCCTGCTTAGAGCAGGGAGTTGAGTAAGATGACATCCAGATGGCCGAACGAGCCCGTTTTCCCATGACTGCTGACATTACCTGATCCATATGTGTTTGTGTGTATCTATATCTATTTTATATATATGTGTGTATACATATGTATGTGTGCATACATATATATATATCCATATATGTATATATCCATATATGTATATATCACTTGTAGGTTCCTCCTTCCAAATACAGTTCATTATCACTAAGTATTTATTATAAAGCAAGCCAAGAATCAAATGGACAAACCCAGGCACGCAAATGCTGGTTTAAAACGCATAATTTGGTGATTATTTAAAGATCTAGAGTATCTCAGGTGTACTAGATGCATGCTTTATATGACAGGCCTTAATGAAACCACTTTACTGAAAGTTAAACCCGAATCCTTTGCTCTTTGATCTTTGGCAATTAGTATTAATCAGAAATATAGTAGCAGCTTTGAGAAATCTTCCTTTGTGCAGCGACAATGAACTGGAGTTTATTCTTGCACCAGATGGTTGGTCTTCTTGCAGATTTTGCTGTGTCTGAATGCTCTAAGTCCCTCAGAATCATCATCTTGGCACTAGAAAAAGAGCTGGCAGCTGATAGAAAAGGTTTTCTTTATCCAGCAGTCTGTTTTACAGATTTTCTAATGTTGTTATTCTCTACTAGAGTGGTTTTAATATTTTTAAAACCTCTCATATAAGTTTTCTGCCTTTCCTGTTTTTTGTTAGTTTTGTTTATTCCCTGGTTCTTGAACTCTATTTTGGAATGACTTTTCTTTTCCTCATACTTCCGATCCTGTAGCAGCAATGGCAAGTGTAGGCCTTAGATTTTATTAGAAGAGAACTAATTAGTTTAACTTAGTTTTAATGGGTACAAAAATTTCTATTTGGATTCTCCATTCCAATTTTGGAAAGTGGCTCTTTGATTCTCTTTTAACCATCTCAAATAATGTCTTTCATTAGCCTTATTCTTAAAGCCTGTCATTCAAAATCTTTCACTTCAAACACCCCATTAGTAATACTACTTTTGACAAACAGTCTTAATTATTTATTAAGTTTACATGGCGTCTTGATTAATTGTAGTTTTCTTGCTTACGTATTGAAAACATAACTAAATCCCTTTCAACTGTTTGCATATTTGTGTTAAAGTAGAGGAGGATTTGGTATATTGCTGGCAAACGGTTATCTGGCTGAAGGGATCCCATCTGCTACCTGTCCACAGTGTACTCTGGCCTACTGTACTAGTCCAGTAGTGTGTGTCCCAGATCCACCTTAATTTCTTAATCTTAGTTCCTTAATCAATACTGTCACCAGCACCTCCGTGCAAAATGACTAGTTCATCTTTTGAAAGCAGAGTAAGTTTTTGTTTAGAGTACACTTTAGTTACCTAGTGCTCACAAAACTGCAACTAAGAAAAGGCAATTATATGCAGTGCTGACCATTAAAATGAAGAAGAGGATCCATTTTGAAGGAGAGGTAAGAAAAATAGCAGAAGGTAAACACCAATCATGAGTGAGCCTCCTTAATGTTCATGGAAAGCAAAAATAAATGTATGGTGATTTTCCAAAAGCAGGTCCATAGAGGAAATTTGTAGGGGGGTAGAGAGTATGTGAAAGAGGCACCATCAAAGAAGCACAGGCAGGAATGTGAGAGCTGGAAGTGTGGGTCTTCCAGCCCTGAACGTTATGTTCCCATGTACGCCTGTTACCAGAACTGCAGCGTGCTTCCTTTGGGAAGAGCTACAGTAAAATGAGGGGAGCTTCATGTGAGCACAAGAGTTTGGACCTGACAAAGAAAGACAGGACTCAACGCGTCCACTAAGCACTTAGAAGACCAGGAGTGAAACTAATGTAGGTTTCTTAAGCAGTGGTTTGCAATTGACAGCTGGAAAAAATAGCGGAAGGAAACAGCAGCCCCTCCACCTCCCCAGGCTTATAAAAGGTGATTACAGATTTGTTACGAAACCCACCACAGGCGTAAGGCAGCATGAGCAGCATCCTCTGATTCTTGCTCTTTCTCTGTTTCGGATTGCGCTTTCCGCCCCGAGCTCTCCCTGTCCATCCCGCTCAGCCCGGTTCACAGGGCTCTTTCCTCTGCCTTTGTGCAGACCCTGTGCTGGGCACGAGGCAAGCGTGCAGAGGGCACCCCGGGCTGGCCCCGTGCTGCCTGCCCTCGAGATGCTGCTCCGCGCTCCTGGGTGCCGCTTCCCACTCACGGGAGGTCAGCACCCGACCGAGCTGTGGGGAAACCGTTTGCTGCTCTGAGCAGGGGGCGAGATGAACGTGCAGGGCCCCTCACGCCTAGGTCAGCCACCCCTCTGTCCGCGCTCACCTTTCAGCTGCTCGGGCTCGGTCACGTCGCACTGGATGAAGAGGGTGCGCTGCGCCTCGAAGAGCGCGTCCAGGGCGGCCTTGCTGTCGCGCCCGGCCTCGCGGTTGCGGTCCAGGAGCGCGACCTGCGCGGGGCGGCGCTGAGCGGCGCGGAGCGGCGCGGAGCGGAGCGTCCCCCGACGGCGCCCGCGCCCCCCGGCGCCGCCCGCGCAGGGGAAGGGGAGAGGGAGCCTTTACCTTGGCGCCCTTGTCCAGCAGCGCCTGCACGAAGGCGCGCCCGATGCCCTGCGCCGCGCCCGTGACCAGCGCCACTTTGCCATTGACGTGCATGGCCCGGCACCGCTCCCGGCTCCGCTCCCGGCTCCGGCTCCGGCTCCGGTCGCGGTCCGGCCGCCGCGCAGCAACCTCGCGCCGTGTCACCTGCGCCCGGGTTTCCTGCCTCGCTGCTCCGCTCCCTCCCTTCCTCCCTCCCTCCCTCGTTCCCTCCTCCTCCTGCTGGAGCTGCTGCCCAGGCTCATTCCCCCTCCCCGCTCCTCTGCCGTGTGACCGGGAGCAGCCCCGGGAGGAGGAAGAGGAGGAGGAGGAGGAGGTCGCGCCTGTGGCTGGTTGAGCCCCGGCCAGCAAGGGCCACGCGCCCCCTGCCCCGGCTCCTGGAGCGACCCCGGCACCCAGAGCGACCCTGGCTCCTGGAGCGACCCCGTTTCCCGCAGGGACCCCGGCTCCCGGAGCGACCCCGGCTCCCAGAGCAACCCCGGTTCCCGCAGGGACCCCAGCTCCCNTCCCAGAGCAACCCCGGTTCCCGCAGGGACCCCAGCTCCCGGAGCGACCCCGGCTCCCAGAGCAACCCCGGTTCCCGCAGGGACCCCAGCTCCCAAAGCGACCCCGGCTCCCAGAGCAACCCCGGTTCCCGCAGGGACCCCGGCACCGTGCGCACCTCCGCGCAGCGAGCAGGGAGCCGCGGGAAGGTCCCTGCCGCTTTTCCCGCTCTGCACGGCGCTGCGAGCCACGAAATCCATGCCCTTGCTCGCAGCGCCGTCCCCACAGCCTTGCAGATGCTGTCACGTAGAAAGCAGGGCGCTAGGGATGGAGCACCCGTGTGCCCTGCTAGTGGCTGTGGACGCACGTGTGTGCACGTGGGTCTGCTAGCACACTCTTCTGCTGGGGTCTGTCTGCTTTAAACTTTTTGCTTGTGTTTTCAAGGCCCCCAAATACTCAGCCTTGGCCACTGTCATGAGTGTCTGTCGCTGTTGTGTTGTGATGCCAGCAGCACACAATGTTTGTTGCATGTGTTTCCAAACTACAATCTATGCCTTTTTTTTTTTTTTTTTTTTTTTTTTTTTTTTTTTTTTTGAGCTGTGTGTTTTTTTTTCCTCTGTCATTTTTTTTTTTTTCTTTCTGCCGTCATACATGGAATTCCCTG